TCCACCATGGCTTATTACCATCCCTTCCTGTGACCTTTCCTTCAGTCATCTGAGGAAGGCAGATATTTCCGATTGGAAGTATCGTCGTCTTTTTGCTGAACATCTTTCGAATCATTCTTCTCTTTCTATTTACACGGATGGTTCGAAATCGGATGACTTTGTAGTTCTGCCATGGTTTGCTGTGGCTCTGTAGTTGCTCGCAGGATCCCCTCTACAGTTTGTGTTCACTGCCGAGTTGTGTGCTATTTCTCTTGCCCTGGATCATGTAGAAGCTATGCAGTTCAGTAATTGTACTATTTTCACTGATTCTCTTAGGTCGCTACTGGCCCTGGAATCGCTTAACGTTAGTCCTCACCCTGTTCTCGTCGATATTCAACACCGATTGGCCCACTTTTCTCAATCTTCTATTTCCATCCAGTTTTTCTGGAACCCTGCCCACGTCGGTATTCACGGGAACGAGTTCGCTGACACCGCAGCTAAGTCCGTCTGCTCTGATGCCGTCACGGCCGGGCCTGTCCCGTACATAGACTACTGTCCTGTCTTTAAGGCCTGGCTTCGTGCTAGTTGGCAGTCGACTTGGTGTGAGCAACGTCATAATAAGCTTTTCCAGATCAAACCTTCTGTTGGTCTTTGGCCGTCTTGCTTCCGTAAAGATCGGAAGGAGGAAGTAGTCCTGGCAAGGCTACGCATTGGTCATAGTTTTCTTAACCCATCGTTTTCTTTTATCAGGTATTGACCCACCAATGTGTAACCATTGCGACACTTAAGTCACAATAACCCACAATAGCGGCACCATTTTAGACACGCATTTTCTAAGAGTTTACCCCTGACGTTGGACAGTGTCATTGGTAATGGTGACAATGTTCGACTAGATTGTATTTTTATTTTTTTTACACCCTATAGGTCTTTTTAATTGTATATAAATCTTTTATCGACACATATTGGTTTTAACTCACTGTATGTTTACATTTTACTTTAATTTACTTTCACTGTTTTTACCGGTTGTTTGGCGTAGATAGCCTCGTTGCTTTGCGCCATAAAGCACCAATCAACGATTAAGGGTACTTTGTTTGCACGAGGCTACACAATGGACTATCTGTGCAGTTCCTACCATGAGTATCAAACCCGGTTTTTAGCTATAAGAGTTCACAGACTTGCCGCTTAGCCATTGTTAACTTATTGCTCTTCCTTTTGCTAGCAGTTCTAAATTGGAGCCCGGTTTGCTTGAACCCCCACAATATGGCCTTTAGATTGAAAATTTTTTCACAAAAATGATAGTTACATCGATTATTCTCAAAAGACTTTGGAAAAGTCCTTGTTACATACTAGGCGTTTAAAGTGGATTATTTAATTTAGTGTTCGTACAATACTAAGATTTTGTTCTTTACTTGTATGGTGTAATCGCGTAAGACACGAGCTTATAAGAGATAGGGATATGCCAACGGTGACGATGTATTTTTTATGTAAATTACTTTCTTAAAAATGAAAAAACAATGTCATGGTATCAGTTAGATAAAAAAAAAAAAACGAACAAACTTAAAACACGTTGGTAATGTTAATTGTATACGTAAAGTGAGACACAAGAGTGTCAATAGTATATTTAAGACTAGCTACGGGAGTGTCGGTTGTATACTGAAAATGAGACACAGAACGTTTGTCAAGAACATATTGAAAGTGAGGTATCTGAGAATCAAAAGTAAGCAAAACTTAATACTGTGTCCGAAAAGTCTGGAACCATAGGCATTTCAACGAGTTTTGTAGAATGTGTTCTACATGGTGTCCTTGTATTTCGAAACCAGTTTGGATTAACGTCAGGATTAACTCGACCATATCACTCTCTGACAGCACTATAATCGGTCACGAATAGGAAATTAAGTGAAGCTTCAAATCACCTATTGTTCCAGACTTTTCGGACAACGTGTGTAAATTTTAACTGTATTATCCAACGTGGCACCAGTGGTTAGCGTGTAGGTATTATCGATATGCACGTTGTGTCCCATAACTTCAAAAATAATGATAATAATTAGGGTCCGCATATTAGGGTTACCGGTGCGTTATAAGAGTCATAGACAAATCCCACTACTAGATCAGATAAGAGTAGTTCAACAGTTGGCGGTGGATGCTCTTGACTAGCTGCTTTCCCTCCAGTCTCTCATTTCAAAATCGAAGACGGCTAGCCCAGATAACTCTTGAAAAACTTTGCGTGAATATCCGAAAACAAAGAAATAACAGTAGGTATTTTCAGTTCACATAGATAAAGCGTACACGTGGGCTTTTCCAAATTTCTCTCCCCCCCCCCATCTTTCTCATTTATTTGTTTCTAACAAACAACTTGGTGGCTAAGCCTGTTAGCGAATCTAACTTGATTAATTTAACAAGTGTTAATCATTATATTCACAATTCGAGGAATTTGGATAATATTCGTTTTATCTCTCTTCATTATATAAGGTTTGAGAGTTGGAGCTAATGAAACGATCTTACAAATTTCTTAATAGGTTCAATGCGTGATTAGATTAACAACATATTCCTTCGGCCAGCTTCTGCTTGAGGAACCCAGTAAAGTTGTAATATTGTACGAATAACTCCTTACATTAAGGAATTACTCGGTAGTTATGACTAAATTTTCAATAAGTTTCGCATTTCAATTATGTAATAAAGTACAATACTTTGCGAGTACGATGTAACATAAACACTATACTAATGAGACACTTGGGGAATAAATTTATTGTGATAAGCGTCGTTAATAACAACTTCGTAAACACGTGCTTTTTTCAAGCACCTTGAACTTTTATAGTATATTAATTTTAGAGCCGGGAGCTGAAAATAACGTTTCACTCTTTAATATAAACTCATTTGTAGTGCGTCAAATGAACAATATGTATAAACAGCTTATGTTTGAAATGAAATTGCTCACTTAGAATATATTTCAGTAAAGATTTACAAGCTAAATCTTAAAATACTACATATGTAAATTCTAATTTTAATATAATTTCTCCAAAAGGGGGCCAAAGGCCGCCTGGAGAAGTCGCCTGTTTTAAGCACTTAAACAACTATATAGTAATGTGTTGTCAGTCAGTAAACACTAAAATGACGTCACATAAGGGACACCTAATGTTGTAATTTGTACTGTCGTGAAATCTTAACGTGTGCATGCCATGAATCACGAAGAATTATGCTCTCTGTTGGCTACAACATGACATATGAACTTCAAAAGCACAAAAATAACATTTGTTGCTCGTATATTTAGTTATTTACTCTTGTGTGTGTGTGTATACACACACACACACACACACACACACACACACACACACACACACACACACACACACACACACACACACACACACACAC